GTGGCTGCGATGATGGGCTCAAGTATAGCAGGGATTGTGGGGCTGGCGTGGGATCGGGCAGTGTTTCGTTCTGCTGTGCATGGGGTTGCTATGAGTCTGAAACGACTTGACAGCACCTAACAACAAAATAAAGAATGTAACAGAAAACTAGATACTAGCTTTATGCTGTAGTATAGTCTAATGATTAAAATCAAGAGTTTTGAAGTCAGACATGCTGGGCTCAAACCCCAGCTTTTCTGCATACAAATTGTAAAATCTTGGACAAAGTACAAGCCTTCTCTGAGCCTCACTGCTGCACCTATAAAACAGAATTATTGGCATGCCAGAAAATGGGTGTAATTATGACAGTAACCCCTAGTTATTTCTGGAACATGAAGGACAATACCCTATAACCAAGAGTTAACATAGTCTATTGTGGAGGCTGCAAGTTTCCCAAAAGAGCCACCTGTTGAAGAAGGAGAAGTTGCTGATTGCAGAAGGATTGTCATGATTCTCAGAAATTTGGCCACAGAGTTTAGTGCCAATGTGTCATGAAAGCCAAGCTAAAAATCCCTAAAGGTCTCCAGGGGTCAACCCTATTTGGATTGAGAGATACAGACCTGTTAAAGAGGTAGCACCCAGCTTCTTCCAATCATCTTTGAGGAAACCCCAGCATCTGCAGAAAGGGAAAATCACCACCCTCCTTAATTAACTCTTTGTTTTGCTTATTGGTATTACAGTCTTCCTATTTATTATTATTCTCTTCCTATTTATTATTTTGTGAGCTTTTGAGTTCAGGGACCATGTTTGATTCACCTAGCATAGCATCTGGCACATCACAGATGTTCAGTGTATTTACAAGTAGACCACAGAGTTTTGGCTTATAGTCAGTCTGTTAACGTTAATACCCTACTCATTATGAAAAGCTGGTTGTCCTCAAGCCAAGAGAGCACATTTACAGTAGAGAGACCACCATACAAATGATGAGTCATAGTTTCAGGTGATGATTGTGAAAGTCCCTGAGACAACATATCCTCAAAATAGCATCCAGCATCTGGAAGTACTCCACAGCCTTCAGATGTCTATAAATAAGATGTAGACTGTGAATCATGCATTAGCCTTTCACCATCTCAAAAGCAACACCAGTTAGATCACTGGATGGGAAGGGCAAAAACGTCTCTACTGGGGACAGATGGAGTCTTCAACTGAAAGCTAAAAATACTGGCTACCCCCTAATAGTGACTTACCTCCAGGGGGTAACCTGGAGAAATGGTTTTTAGAACGCAGTCTGTTGTTGTTGTTGTTGTTGCATGCCGTCGAGTCAGCCCCGACTCATAGTGACCTCTTCTTGGGTTTCCGAGGCAGTATCACTACAGAAGTAGGATTGCCCAACCTTCCTTCCGAGGAGTGGCTTGTGGGTTTGAACCGCCTGCCTTCTGGTTAGTAGTCAAGTGCCTTAGGCACTATGCTACTAGAGCTCCTAGAACACAGTCTAGGGCCTCTAAAACATCCAGAGAGCTGCTTTCCCCCATGGCCTCTCACAACTGTGATGGCCAGAGAATGGAAGTGAGAAGACAGGGAAGTACACACCATATTGTTACATGAAACCTGCCCTTGAGAAGATCATTGTCTGACACCTGTCTTTTATGATCTGGGGGAAAAAAAATCCAAAAATTTTCCCTAAGTTTTTCAGTCTCCTAACTTGAGCTTTAACATAACCTGGTATAGTAGAAGCCTCATTTACCAATCTAGCTCTCATTACCCAGCCTGTGATGTTGGGCAAATCACTAACGTCTCAGAGCCCCAATTTCCTGACTTAGAAATAGGGATTAGAAGTCAGGATTCAGTACAATAATGTATCTAAATCATACTGCCTAGCACACAGCAGATGCTCAACCAAAATTAGTTCTTTCCCTTTTCTTCGTAGTTCAAGAGGGTCACAGCAAGGAAAGTACCAACTATGAACTGACAAAAAACTTATGAACTAGAATATACATAGCTATGTTTGGTTCAGCTCCATTGTTGATTAATCTTCTTTAAGGTGTGCTGGTCAATGAAATCCTCAATAACATGAAGACTGCAACTCAGACATCAAACCACAGAAAATTCATCATATATTCTGGAGTAAGTATTTTGGTCTTCATTCAACATCTAATTTTTCAAGTGTGTGATCTCTTTGAGGATGAGAGTCTTATCTTTGTCCTCATTTCCCCATTGCCTAATAGATGGTATGCAGATATTGAAAGCTTTTGAAATTAAACATATAATTCTGGCCCTTGGGGAATTTACAATCTAATATTGACAAGAAGACAAGTAACGCATAAACATCATACAAAGCATTGTAGAAATGTCATACAAGCAAGTGCTTTGATGACTCAGAGAAGGGAAGCAGTACTTCTGATCAGAGAGTGGGGAGAAGAGAATTGGAAGGATTCCTGGAGTAGGCAGCCCATCAAAGGCATGAAGATGGAAGAGGGTAGCAAGCACTTCCACACTGCACTGTAGGGCATAGAAAAGCAGTTATCACGATGGAACTGGAAGACTGGAAACATGTGGAGAAGTTGGTATGAGATTAGGTAGGTATTAACTGTGCTGTCCAATACAGAACCCACTAGCCACTTACGGCTATTTAAATTTAAATTACATTTCAAGTGCTCAATAGCCCTAATGGCTAGTTACTATTGAATGGGATCACAAAGATATAAAACATTTCCATTACTGCTAAAAGTTCTATTGAACAATGCTGATATAGAATGTTTAAATGTCTCTCCCATTTTGGGGGCTATAGGTCGGGTCCAACTTGATGGCAAATAACAACAACTACAACAAGGCATTATGCAAATTATTTCATTTCTGTAGGTCTTAGTTTCTTTGTCTCTTAAAGGACAATAATTATATGTTTGTAAACCACCCTCTCTAGCACCCTGCACCTGCCACCCTGCAGCAAAGGAGACTTGGTGACTGACAGGTTAAGTCTTCAGTTGCTAACTGAAAGGTCGGTGGTTTGAGCCCACCACTCCATGGGACAAAAGACATGGCAATCAGCTCTAGTAAAGATGTATAGTCTAGGAAACCTTTTGGGGCAGTTCTACTCCGCCCTATTGGGTTGCTATGGGTCTGGATCTGCTCCATAGCACACAATAGCAACCAACAAGAATGTAACAGACATACTCAACCAAAAATGTGTTCTTTCCCTCTCTTCTTAAGTCAAAGAAATGGGGAATGTAATTGGACTTTTTGTGGGAAATAAGCCCTCAAGATATTCTATATGTTCTTAATATCTATTGAATGTGAATCTGAACCAGAGGTAAAAACCAAAAATAGTTTGTTTCAAATCTCTTTAGCATGACACTACTGTGAGTGGCCTACAGATGGCGCTAGATGTTTACAATGGAAAACTTCCTCCGTATACTTCCTGCCACATCACAGAACTGTACCTTGACAAGGGGTAAGTTTCTGAGAGGTACTTATCAAAATCACCATCACTGGACTCCAGACGTTGCAATTATTTTATTATGGGCTTAAGAGCTATTTTGTCTTATCTGTCTGGTTTGGTTAGGTTTAATATCCAAAGGAAGAATAGTGACCAGTAACAGTGCCTATGCCTACTCATTGCTCTTTTACTTTTGTTTTCATGAAGACTTTTACTGAGAAATAATATACATGCATACCCACTGCCGTTGAGTCAGATCTGACTCACAGCGACCCCTCCTTGGGTTTCTGAGGTGTATGCATAGTAGGTGAAAAATTAATTTTATAGAACTACCCTAAGTGACAGAAGTTGTGTTTTTGTTTTTTTAAAGAGAACTAAAAATTTCTAGGAGCTATGAGTCGGGGCCGACTCGAAGGCATATAACAACAACAACAACAACAATAATTTCTAAGCAGTATGCAGACATTGGGAGCTCTGGTGGTGTAGGGCCTAAAGCACTTGACTATTAACCAGAAGGCTGGCAGTTCAAACCCACCACCCACTCCTCAGAAGGAAAATAGGGCAATCTACTTCCGTAGAGATACCACCTTGGAAACCCAAGGAGGGGTCATTATGAGTCGAATGGACAGCATTCCATTATTATTGCTTTATTATTTTTTTTTTTAATTAGACATTAGTTTTTTTTTTAATTGGAAAACACAGCTAGAAGATATCAGAAATTAATAAATAGTTTGTGGATGATTATATTATAATGATCTTTAAATTAATTTAAAGACTCAAAGATGTACATTCATGCTCTGGTATTTCATATCCACCAGTCAAGATTCTTAAAGTATGGCTAATGATCAGAGTTTACTTTCTGCAGCTTGGTATGGCCTTCCCCACCTAAAAATGCTTGGCTTGAAGCCACCCAAAGGGCCAAATGTTAGAATGACCAACATTCCTGGTTTACTCAGAACTGAGGGGGTTCCCAGAATGTGGGAATTTCAGTGTTCAATTGAGACAGTGCTAGGCACACCAGGATAGATTAGTCACTGTGGCCAAGGTCATACCAAAAGTTAGTATCTACTGTGACAATAGCATTTCCCATTGAGAGAAGGGGGAGGTGCTGTTGGCTAGTAATCAGATTAGAATGTATTGGTGGAATAAGAGCAAGGAAGGGGCAGAGTTAGGGTTCTGACCCCAGAGCTTCTGCTTAGGGTTGGTTGGGGGAATACATTTTGCCTTCCCCTCAAGGCATTCGTAACTGCAGGCGGAACCAGCTTCATGGTTGTGTGACCCTTGTACTTGCGCAGAGTCCTGTGCTCAGATAAGTCCTGCACTTGGACTTAATGCTCCGATGTTGATAGTCCTAAAATTCTTAACAGTATTTAAACAGGGGCTCCATGTTTTCATTTTGCACTGGATCCTACAAATTATGTAGCTAGTCCAAGCTTCTGGCATGTTGAATTTGTAGAGTCAGACAGTGGCAGTACAGAGATATTATTCTCAGTCAACATCTTCACTGCTCACAAAGTGAGTCCTGAATAATTAAGGAAGGGTAGTGGTAATTAAGGTTGTGTGTCAGTTGGGTTTGTCAGGGCCATGAGTCTAAGTAGCTTAGCAGTTATGATGTCATTATTCCCCATGGATGAGAATGGATATAATGTAATCACTTCCATGATGAAATCTGCTATGAATAGCCAATCAGTTGAAAGGAAGTTACCTTCAAGGTGTGGCCTGCTTTCAGTGTATAGGGAAAAGCTTTGGAAAAGGTCTCCGAGTTTTTGGTCCTTTTGGATTCTGCATTTGGCCCATCATCATCTCCAGTTTCTGGACTTGAATCAGTGGCCTCCCATGTTTCCTGCCAATCTTGGGATTGTTGCCTTTGCAGCCTGTGAGCCAACAATCTGCCATTTTACCTGCTGATCTTGGATTCATCAGCTTCAGAAGCCAGCAGCCTGCTATGCTGTATACCACCTGCCAATATTGAGTTTGTCAGCCCTTGCAGCTGCGTGAGTCAGAAAAAGCCTCATGTCAAAAGCTTGACATCTGATCCACAGACTTGGGACTTGCCAGCCCTTACAATTATGTGAACCATTTCCTTGAGATAAATTTCCCTTTCTCTCTCTCTCTCTCTCTCTCTCTCTCTGTGCTTCATTGGTTTTGCTTCTCTAGAGTACCAGTCTAAGAGGTAGGTCCCTCCTTTATTGAAGGCAACAGGCATCACAAAGTAGAACTCAAGAGTGATCTGACCTAGCTTTGTTCCCAAGTACCTACAGTCAAGTTGGAGAGCAAGACTCATGAAATAGAGACTAGCCAAACAGAGAAGAAAATGGGAATGAGAAGACTGTAGACACCAAGTGATCATTTAATAACAAGTACTGTTTAAGTCTGCCCCTTTGAAGGCCAGCACTGAACACAGAGTTAATCAGGCCAGCCAAAATCCAGAATCAAGCCTCAGAACAGACAGTATTTCTTCAGGGAAAGACAAGAGAAAGTACCAACTTAACTCTGGCCTCCTTCCTCGCTGGTTTCTGTTGCCAAGTGACCTGAACCTGTTTATTAGGGCACTGCAGCATTTTGTCCCACAGGATCTGTCTCTCACCAGCTTGGGTAAATCCATGTTATGAATCCAGAGTGGGATGTTTTTCATTGATATGTAAAACAAAATTAAACAAGGAAGTCAATTTCATTGTTATATTGGGCTTATTTATTTATTTATTTTTACCTGCTAGAGAAATAGCTAAGGTAAAACTTGTCTGACTTTAATTAGGAACAAGAAGGATACAAGTTAACAAAAGCTATATATGCCTGCATATTAAATGATCCTGACTATATGTATTAGTCGGGGTTCTCCAGAGAAATAAAACCAACAAGATTCAGACATACACACACACACACACACACACACACACATATGCACACACATATATATCATATACACATACATTATGAGAGAGAGATTAATTTTAAGAAATAGGCTCACATGATTGTGTGGGCTAGCAAGTCTAAAATCCATGGGTCAGGTGGCAGGCTGGAAACTGGCAGTCTTGAGTCCAAAATCCATAGGCCAGCCAGTGAAATTACAGCAGGATGGCTATATCACAAGGACCCTGCTGATGCAATGGTTAAGCATTCAACTGCTAACCAAACAACTATTGGTTCAAACTCACCAATTGCTCCCAGGGGAAAAAGACCTGGTAATCTGCTCCTGTAAAGACTGCAGCCTAGGAAACCCTATTGGGCACTTCTACTCTGTCCTATACTGCAGGGTAACTGTGAGTTAGAATTGACTCTACAGCACACAGCAACATCCATATTACAGTCTTGAGGCAGAATCCTTCTCTCTTTGGAAAACAATTTTTGTTTTTTTCCTCTTAAAGCCTTCAAGTAATTGAATGAAGCCCACTCACATTACGGAAGGCAATCACCTTTACGTAGAATCAACTCATTGTAAATGTTAATCTTATCAACAGATTTCTCATCAACATCTAGACAAGTGTTTGACCGAATAACTGGCTATTGTGGCTTAGCCAAAGGAGGTCTGGTGGTGTAGTGGTTAAGGCATTTGGCTGCTAACCAAAAGGTCAGTGGTTTGAACCCACCAGCTGCTCCATGGAAGAAAGATGAGGAGGTCTACTTCCATAAAGATTTACAGCCTTGGAAACCTAATGGGGGTCATTCTGAGTCAGAATTAACTCAATGGCAATGAGTTTGAGTTTTGGTAGCTTAGCCAAGTTAACACTAAAATTAATCATACCAGTCTACCCCTTGTCAACTTGGTACCCATACATATCTCCTTGAACTATACTTAATCTCAAAATAAACACAGTAACAAATTCTGTTTAACATGATATGAATATCCTGTGTACAAGCCAAGCACATTAACCCTTTCCCCAGAAGAGGATGCAAAGTCACTCTTCACCTTGATGTCCTATGAATTAAATACTGTGATGTAAAGTTAATACATCTTATGTTGTATGATAAAAGGTAAAGAGAAGGAAGAAAACACACATATTTGAGATACATACATGCACATTCATAACAAAATAAAGAATACTCACAACAATAATAGTCCTCAGTTGTCCATCTTGGTCACATGATTGTAGCTTGTATTTAAAAGAGAGAGAGAAAGATTTATCTCAAGGAAATGGTTCACACAGTTGTACAGGCTGTCAAGTCCCAAATCCAAAGGCCAGGTATCAGGCTGGATGTTTCTCCTGATTCACGTAGCTCTAGGGGCTGATGAACCCAAGATCAGCAGATCAGGGAGCAGGCTACTTGCTCACAGGCTGCAAGGCTGATGAATACCAAGATTGACAGGCAATACGGCAGGTCACTGTCTCAAGTCCCGAGAACTGGATTTCAGATGAGGATGAGCTGGTTGCAGGATCCACAGTGAGCAAAAGCTAGAGAGCTTTGCCAGAACATCCATAGTCAAGGGATGCAGGCCACATCCTTGAAGAAACTCTCCTTACAACTTATTTTCTAATCATATCAGATTACATCATGGAGGTGATTGGATTATATCACAAAATGAAGGATAACAACATTATTACATAACTGCCAAATTACATCATTACAAAACTGCCATAACACTGAGAATCATGGCCCAGCAAGCTGACAACCAACCTGAACCTTAACCATCCATTTGATGATGGAGTACTGCTGTGCATGCCCAATTTTATGCCTTTGTGGGTAAGACAACACACAGTTCATGATAAACAGCTCAGGCCACGTGGTAACTTTATTAGGCATCAGTCTCTACTAAGGCCCGGTAGCAAGGCAAATGCTATTTTCCAAAAGGAAAGTAGTTATCTGTAAAGAATGACAGGGCTTTGTTACTACATCCCAAGGATCTGTGCTTTGATTCACCAATAGGGACCTGCCAAAGGCTGCAAACAGCATCTCCACCTGCCACTGACACTTTAAGCACCATTGGATCAGCTAGATCAAATGGCCCAAGTGGCAGAGTGGCTTGCATGGCAGTCTGCAACCTATTGCAGAGCTTTTCTTGTTCTGGGCCCTAATCA